CAGGACCAGCAGAGAAGTGAACAGCCAGACAGCTTACCCCAGCCCAGCCAACACCAAACTGCCCAAGCAACTGAGTCTCCGTGTGGCTGAAAATTGCGCAGTTGCTGGCTAGCCAGGCCATGAGCCAAAAAGCAGGGAAAGCAACAGGTGGGACCCGCAGCAGAGACAGAGAGAGAGAGAGAGCGAAATGAAGAGATAAGGCAAGATAAGTTGAAGACAAGAAAGAGGGTGAGAATGGAGAAGAACAGAGGCGAGAGAAAGCGAAAGAGAAGCAACGCCAGAAAGTCAAGAACATGTGAAACATAACAATTTTAACAAAACAGAACAAGAAAACGAGAGCATAGGCACATGTGCAATGGACACAATAACAAAAATAGATAAGTATGAGACAAAGCGCTCAACAAACATGAAAAGAAAGGGGTATTTACTTGTACGTGTGTACATACCTCTCTGCCCCCGTGCCTGTATAGATACACATATGTTTACATTGAGCTATATATGCATACACGCACAAGTAAATACCCCTTTCTTTTCACGTGTTTGCTTTTTCTCACACTTATCGATTTCTTTTTTTACCTTGTTTCCATTGCATATTTGCCGATGTTCTCGTTTTCTTGTGTTGTTTAAACTAGTATGGTTTGGTTTTTGAAGCAACACAACTCCAACCACAGCGAGAGCAACTCATGGAAGCTTATTAATTATGGTTGTGAAAGCAGTTTTTGCTATTGGCTACTGCACTTTGGTTTTACCGGCAAGTGGTTGAGCCAGGGCACTCGCAGTACTGCAAGCTGGGGACCCTCGCCATGAGAAAGGGCGGCTGGTCCTCGGCGTAAACGTGGAAGTAGAGCTCGTGGCCCATCATGCGGGCCCAGCCAAGGAGGGGACCGTGCGGCACGATGCCTTGCTTGGTGTAGTGGACCCAGGTTTTGATGACCTGGATGTCGTAGAGCGACTGCTCCGACAGCCGCGCCTCACTGCCTTGCAGGCGCTGGAGCTGCTCTCCGAGCTCGCGCACCAAACGGCTGGCCTCCTTGTCAAAGGTGACAGGCGGCCAGAGACTGTCTGGATGGTAGTTCTGCAGCCGGGCACTGTAAAAGATCTTCACGTACGCCAGATCTTTCTGAACGTTGCCCTGCGCGTTCCATCCAGGAAGGGGCTTCCCCTTCAGCAGCGCTTGCTCAATCTCGTGCATGGGGAGGGCCGTGATGTCCTCGCCCTCGCCAGCTGTGTCCAGCACAACACTGCTTGCACTGCACTTGGTGGACTCACGGCTGGCCCTCACCATCTGCAAGCGTGAAGCTGGAGCAGCCCTTGGAGTCTGGGACTCGGGGACTCCAGGCTCAGGGACTGCGGACTCAGGCTCAGAGGGCCCAAACTCCTTCGGCTCCTGGGTGGGTGGCACGTTGGGCTCGCCAGGGGAAGATGTGGCATCGGGCTTGCCTGCCTCAGGATGGGGATGGTCCGGCGCGGGCTGGTCCAGCGCGGGCTTTGGCTCGGAGTGGCCGCTTGCACTTGCAGGCGTGTCGCTGGCGCTTGCCTGCTTGGCTGCGGCCTCTTGCTTCTTGCCATAGCGCACCCCCAGGACCATGCCTTCGAAGACAATGGACTCCAGCGGCCCACTAGTCTCCACAGTGGCGAGGATGATGGAGTCCTCGTTGCAGAGGGCCCAGCGCAAGGATCCTGCAGGTACGGAGTTCCACAGGACACACTCAAAAAACAACCGCGAAGCCCTACTAATTGCGATTGTTTTTGTACCAGTGCAACGCCACAAAAGCTGGTCCTGTCTTGCTTTGCGGAAGGTCAACCAAGTCTGGGCTGCAGCCTCGCTCAGTGATGGCTGACTTCAACGACCAAACCTGGTTCTCGTCGGTGGCCACCACCAGCAGAACCTTGTGAGCGTTGAAGGCTGCTTGAGGGCCACCGCTCAGCAAGAGCAGCTTCACACGGTCTGTCCGACTCTCGCTGCCCAACTGGTTGCCCATCTTGCAAACTCTGGAACTCAGAAACACGGGGACTGGGGACTGGCTTCAGATTCTGCGGCAGGACAGCAAGCGAATCCAACTGGCTCTGACCAGCAACAAGCTAAAGAACAATTCAACCCCTTGCTGAGCGGAAAATGGGCTGTGGGGGAAACTTAAGATTTCCAGACGCACCAGTTGTTTCCCAGACACGGGCAGCGGTTTCCAGACACCTGCAACTGCCTCGCCTGCCAGGTGCCCCGGCTGTGTCCTCTGACATCAGGGACTCCGCGTTGGCAGGGCTTTGGCCTCAGCATCAGGAACCGTACGAGGTTGTGTGCTGGAAAGAAATGTTTGGCTCCCTCCCTTGTTTCAGCATTCTGGAAAGTTGTTCGGTTTTGGATGGACAAGCAGCTGGCAACGATTGTTTGATCTTGGCTATGACTGAACCTCGAGCATGCCCACGGTGCTAAAGAACTTGAAGAACACACCCATCCAAAACCGAACACTTTTCAAATGAGGTCGTCGTCGCAAAGGAGCAGCGAGGTCAACCCAGATATTTGCTCTCATTGGGAGTTGGCCCCTGGGGTTTCAGAATGTGCCCAGCAACACCAGCATTAACACCCCTTTGGAGGAAAGCGCCTAGCCCTGGAGCCACACTGTGTGGCCTCTCGTCCAGAAAGAAATTTTGTTTTAGAGGTACCAAAAGCTGCAATCCTTGAAGGGTGTTTGCAGCAAAGGCAAACCTGCACAGGCGTTTCAGTCAGGGCACATCAAGGCCAACCCACCGTTTTGAAGCTGGGCAAAGGTCGCGAATAAGTATCGCATCTCTCGACCAAACAGGAGCCACCTGCAGCGACTATTGCTTTCAAGCGTGGCCTTAGACCAGGCCACACAAACAACCAGAACATCAGGGCCTTAAGCGAATCGATGGGCTGAAGCTTGCTGAGCACAGCGCGTTGTTAAATTGGTTGAGACTCGCAAACCTGAAGGTTATTTGGATCAAGGTCAATGTAGTGGGCACGCTGGCCTGAACGTGTCTGTTTTTAGTTTGCGTCTTGGTTGTTTTGTCAAGCTAATTTACCAGTTTCATCAAACTGGTTGGGTTTTGAGGGAAGGCTTATTACGCTGAAGTCGGCAATGCTGGGGTTATCGGGGCTGCGTGTGGAAGGACGGGCAGTGCGTTTGCAAGAACGGTGGGTACTACTCCATATGCCATGCAAGCGGCCACCGCAATCTGCTTGAGAAGTGAAAGACTTGAGGCGGCAAGCCGTGGACGCCGCAGCCGGCAGCTCATTTAGTTGCGCCGAGTTTTTTCTGTAGGCTATTTTTGGCAAAGTATGCCCTGACCAGTAGACGGGAACTAGCGCGCAGGCGGTAGCGTTTGGCGTGGCCTTGTAGAGCGCAGAGCTTGAGGGCGCAACGCGTAGTAGGGCTGTGTAGTTTAGTGCCAGCGTTGGGGCTGCGCTGTACTGCTGCGTGCGCCGCGCGTTAGCTCTGTTCTTAATTTGAGTTTAACGGCGGCTGCGCTTGCAGCCAGAATAAATGTTCACTGGTTCAGGGATGCGCGAGGGCGACAAGGCGCTTGGGGGCTTGGGTAAAACCGCGTCTCGGCTGTCAGAGAATGAATGGTTCAGCCATGCCCACGGAAACTTGAAAAACCAATGAGCCGAGGCCCTGGCTTGGCGAAGCTGCTTATGGCGGCAGCCGCCAGCGACAGCCGCTGCCCCCCCCCCCCCCGCCCAGCCCAGGTAAACTGCCCCAAGCTTAAGAATAGGGGATAGCAGGGGCGTTGTCAAACATAAAGCCTACTGACGGGCTTGCTGCCTTTGGACTGAGAATTTGAAGGGCAATTCTTGAACAGCTATATTCGCGTGCTTGTTTTAAACCAGCTTCTTCCCATTCCAAAGGCTAGCCGCCCGTTACCTCCATTGACTACAGTGTTCAAACAGGGGTTTTAGAAAGGTGTCGGCTTTGGATGGGCCAGTCTGGGCCTAGCACAAGTGGCAAATCACAACTTCTTACAAACACTGGGAAGCACAGAACATGTTTTTCACTTTGTCTACTATGCTAGACCCAGCATGGCGCATCCAAAACCGACACCTTTTCTAAAACCCCCAGTAACCCCCAGTAACCCCCAAGGAAGCAATTATTTGCTGGGTTTTCTCACGTAAACCTGGGAGTGGGCTTTTATTGCCAGTATTTTGGTCAGTACTTCCTTGAAAGGGGCCATGCAGTTTCAATGCCAGACACGCTGCAAGGCTCTGACAAACAGTAGTACATGATGCGAGGGACCTTCTCACAGAGCCTCACACAGGTCTAACATGAACTTGCATGACCCCAAATATGAAGATAATAAGGGCCCATTCCTGAGGTTTACATGATATTAATGCCCCAAAATAGACTACCGGAATCAAAAACCAGACTACCACAATCAATGATCACCGGTTTCTAGCCATGTCTAGCCTGTTAAGCGCGAGTGGCCTTTGATGAATGTGGAGCCATTGAATAAACTACTTGCCAGAAACACGAGCAAACGGAATAACCACTGGATCCAAATCATCAAAACAAACATCATGGACACATCGTTCCATTCAAGAGAACCTCTTTGTCTGGCTGTGCTGCCCTGCCAAGCAGGGCAACTGTGTGACCATTATTTTCCTCTTGTGCGACTGCCGCTGGTTCGCTGGTTGATTCGTTCCCCACACCGTCCAAAGCGGGGTCCCCAGCTTACTCCCCAACAGTTTAACATGGAACCCAACATCAACATCCTAGCTTTTACGGACCCCTTTTTTGAGGTTCCATGTTAATTTGCAGCGGAGTCGAGACCTCAACTACCCTCCAGGACATGGGTCCAAGGGTTGCTTCGTGTACGCACTCCCTGCATGTACCAAAACATCACCCCGCCGAAAGGACATGCAATGTGTAAAGAAGGCGATGTTCAAAACCGCGAGATTCTGTGTTATCTGGCACACCCCTTTAAATGAAGACTTCGTCATTCAGGTCTACCATGGGTGTTTGGGCAACCATATGCCAAGCTGCCAAACAGCGCCCTGCACCTCCGATCCGGCGCCAGCAGCGCCTGGGCAAAGGGCGGGGCTTATGGGTGCTGCTGCTTGTCAGCCCGCCCACACATGGCGAAGATGTAGGCCTTATGACCACTCACGCCGCATGAAAGCTTACCAAGCCATTGCCAGAAAGGGTGCCCTCGTCTCTCTCCGCAATTGCTGCGCCATGAAGGAGGCTATTGTGCAGGCCCAAACCAGAAAAGCCAACCCTAAATAAGGCGGGTTGCAAAGACCTTATAGTGTCCTCCACATGACCGTGCGTGCTTTGAAAGCACCCTTTGGGTTTGAAACAACAAATGAATACTCAACTTGGGTCGTCTCCTATTTTGAGACAGCCCCAGAAAACGTGTCCCCTGCGCGTGCCGGTAGAAGACCGTTTTTGGGGTGGGGCCCAAACCCAACAACAAGAAGGAATGTGAAGGAGACAGGATTCCACTCAAACAACTGGTGATTCCAGCTTTCTGTATACCTAACCCAGTGACTCCATATACCTGTGAAGGCAATCAACAAAAACCACCCTTTACTGCACCACTGGGCTTCTCAAAGTAAGGTTTGGGCAACCCCGAAAAATGGGATGTTTCAATCTAGGTCAATATCCCATCTTTGACTTGCCAGTGGGGTCCAGGCCCAACAACTCATGGTGTTTTGCGCCGGGCATCATTTTCTACCATCATTGTAACTATGGTAGCGCACCATAGTTAGCCAGGAAAACACCAGCAAAATCCGGGACAACGCCGGGCAACACCCGTGAAACACCGGGGGCAAAACATGTGAAGCGCCGGGAAAATATCCTTGAAACACCGGGAACCCACACCAAAACCCGCCGATGGATGCCGCGACGTCCGCCGCTTTGGAGCCGCGCCTCCGAACGCCGCCCCCAGGAGCTTGAGCAGCGCCTGGTGCTCCGCGTGGCGCCCGGCGGCCGAGACGGAGGGCAGCGCCAAGGGGCGCAGGCCCCAGGCCTCGCGGGGGGGGGGGGGGGGGTTGGCGTTGGTTTCGGGTTGGTGACATTGTGTTGTTTTTTTGTTTTTGTGGTGGGGGGGAGGGCCCCTGAAACAAAGACCCGGACACACGCATTGATCTGTATATATATATATATACATATACATAATATACATATGGGGCTCCATTGTGGGAAGGGGGAGGGAGGGGGAGAGCGATTCACAGAAACCGGTTGCCGGCAAAATGCACAAAAAAGCAGAGACTTCTTGTATGTTCTGTAGCTGGCTTCTTAGATGATTGTGCACGTCCATGTGTGAACCCATGGCCATTTGGGACCCCGCAAGGGGGGGGGTACTGGTTTCCCGTAATCAAGCTGTGTTCAACGGTTCGGGAAACCAACAAGCTATCCTGGCAAAAACCATAATCAGCGGGGGTTTCCACGTCCATTGGTAGGGAATGGTTTGACGGTTGGAGAACTCGATGGTGTGGCTTGAAAAGAACAGGTTTACAAGGGAAAGCTCTACACCGGGTGGTTGCATTGAAACAACTACCCCGAAACCAGTAGGAGTGCACTGAACATAAGATCACAACATTTGGGACAGGCAGGGTTTGGCCAATTCCAGACTTTAAACAATGATTTAAGCAAATCGTTGAAACAACTTCCTTGCGTTTGCAAACTTTAGGGGGCCCGGCCTGGTTGCTTGGACAAAGTTGCCCAACCCTGGTCGGCCAGTGCACTCCCCCCAAGCAACAAGGGCCAAATGGAAATAATTCTGGGGGTTATGGTTTGTGGGAAGTGGCAGCAATCCGGAACTTTGCAGGTTGGAACTCCGTAATTATTCAACCCACGGCGAGGTGCCAGCCCCAGCCCCCCTGAACCAGCCCAAGTGGCAATCAAGTGCATCAAATGAACCTGTCAGATCCGCCTCGCCTGCTCCACCCCTTTGCCGGGTGCCAGCCAAAGCCCCGGCTCGCCGCGGTCGCCGAGGTCGAAGCTGAGCCATGCGCCCCTCACGGAGGCGGAGGACCAACGCCGCACGGCGGCAGCCTGACCATGGCCGCTGCTCCGCGCAAAACAAAGAAGCTTAACTTTTCGCTCCAGCGGGCTATGATAGACATCGGTCTCAGAAATGAGCATCTAAGCAGAGGAAAAGAACAAAAAAACAACAGGCCTTGCAAGGCGGGAGAGACCGAAAACCCGGTAACTTGGAGCGTCAGGTGCAGGTCTTGACCACCCGAGGGGCTCGAATTCAGGCAAGTGAGCTGCTGGCAAATACGGGACCCAAGGGCTCACATGGAAGCCCTGGACGCAAAGACCACACCCCAGGATAGCCCAAAAAATCCAGCAGTAGGAGGGTGGTCATGAGGGGGGCACCTTAATTTGTGAGCCCGGCGGTTGTAGCACCGATGCACGCCACTTTAGATCAACCGGGGTACAGCTAAGACTGGGCCATGAGGGAGGGGGTTTCATCGCCGGGTGATTTCTGCATTTTTGGAAAAGAAGAGACCATGTTTTAACAAGGCTTTAAACTTGCGGCGCCACTCAGTTTTAGTTCTTCAGTTTCCTTGACAACTCTCTCAGGGACCAGAAACAGAGAGAGAGAGGGAGGTGCCATCCGAATCACAAGTCAAGGCAGCATTTGCCGCCTCATCGGAGCAATGATTGCCAAACGAGTGGTATTCAGTCAAGGGGGCATCACTTTTGGCCTAATACTCTATCTTAACAAAGTGAAGGTTTCCATCTTGGGGGTTCCGTGGCACGATGCAAGAGCCAAAGACTGTCAAGGTTGACCCACTGTTCATAGGACAAATCAGAGCAACATCCGTGCTTCTTGGCCCAAACATAGAGGGGCCCACCGAAGCGGCATGAGCCACCGCCATCAGCTCAGTTCTTCCAGCCATGGCGTTGACATGAGGTTTCCTCGTCATAACTCTCATAGTGGCCGGCCAAATTTCGGAAGATCTCCAACTATGAAAGGCCTGCAGAATTACTGCTTCATCATTTCCCCCTGCAGATTTACACACGCAAAGTGCAGATTTTTTCCGAACCTCAATTGTCTGGAAACAAAAACAACCTTGTTGGCGATACGGGTATGTCCTGTTTTCGCGGGTGCTCTATTTGGATGGATTTTCATCGAAGTGATTCGGAAATCACCCATTTTAGGGGTCCCCCCAGATTGAGTTATTGGGGGTACATCCTCAGATGTGCATGGCAACCGTCCTTGGGTGGCCATCAGCATTCGACAAAGCGGGGATTCCGTAGCTGATCGATTCGCGCCAAGTTTGCGAAGACACGACAATCATCGCCGCTTGTTCAAAAACAACGTTTTCACCAAAACAGCGAGGTTTCCGCCAATATTGGAAGAGCCTTTTGTTAAACTATTTTCCACATGTGGGGTGTACGCTTTCCGGGCTCGACATCACCCTCGCGTCGCACCTTCCTTGCCGCCTCCGCGCCCGCGTCCGCATCATCCGCGTCGAGGGGGCGCCAAGTGGCGAGGCGAGCCAGGCCCAGTAGGCGCCTGCCCCACTCGCTTCTTCCAACTGGGGCATGGACTCTAAATGGATGTGTGTTTTGCTTAAGTACCTTGGTTTCAAGGGAGGCCAACAAGGAAAACACACATTTTTTGGGGGGGAGCCCGTTTTGTTTGAAGGTTCAAGGGTTCAAAGGGAAACCAAGGAAACCACCATATTGGGGTAGGGCGGAAAATGCATCCACCATCATCCACCCCTCTCCGCAAACTCCATTTCTAGGTGTTAAACAGCCGACTATCGCGATTAAGTGCGTGCAATTAATTGGGGGGGCACCATTTTGATGGTCCCTGTAGACCCTCATAGGCAACCAACCCAAAAGTGAGTTTGCGGTTTGGATTGGTTTGGTGGTTAGGGGTGGTGTCCCATTTACTTTCTACAAAGGCGGGGGGTTAAAATCCCCAACAACTAAGGGTTACCCGAACCAACCCCCGAAAAGCGGTATATATACATTTATATATATATATACAAAAAAAAAAAAAAAAAAAACTATCCCCCAATCCCCTAAAAGCCCAGGCCCTTAGGTACTGATGCGCCTCGTGGCGTGGAAGCCGAGGCTTGGGAGCGCCAAGTTGGCGCAGAAGGCCTCCAAAGCCGCAAGCGCCTCCCTCCGCGACTTCCTGACACGCGCGCTGTGACGAGGGAAGCCGATGCACAGGAAGACCGGCACATCCCCATGGTTTCCCAAGCCCCCCCCGCCAAATGGGTGCGTCAAAATGGACTTTTCGGTGTTCCTTGAGGCTTCCTATAAATTGTCCCTTCCCTTCAAAACGCGTCCGCTTGGTTTTCTTTCGGAGTCCTTTTGTCCCAGCACACCTTTTCGCAAATGGAAGCGCCAAGAACACGAGTAGCTGTCTCCAAAGGAGACCACAAGGGAATGGATGATGTCTCTTTAGCCGACTCACATTTGGCACCCGGAGCTCCTTCCACTTAAGCTGGTTGGCTTTGCTCTTTCAACCAGCATGGAACCCACAAAAGAAGCGACTCTACAAATGACGGCAGCTTGGGTTCCAGTTTGTTTGGGGTCTCCAAAATGATGAAGGGTGTAAACAAGTTGAAAGTTTCTGTTCATACCTGCGACATGGTGGAAAATGCGGGGCTGCGAGAACAGGGGAAGAAGCCAAGATCAAACGTGGACACGTGGCTGACAGCATAACCAGGATGTGGTTTCCTTGCAAGGGCCCTTTCTCTGATACCAAGGTCGGGTAGCTAAAAAAAGGTGTCAATTTAGCTGTCCCCCAAAACCCTCTTCGTTATGCAAGGCTTGTAGCCACTCCTAGAAAGCCTCTTCCACTTGTTCAGTACACAAGTTAGGGCTGTTCAGGGGTGACCTTTGGATGACCAGGGGTGAACATATGAGAAGATGTCCCATCTAAGCATAGCTAGTTTTGTGTCAAAAGGAAAAATGCAAATTTCGAAAAAAATAGAAGGTGGTGACCTAGCCCCACAATTGCGCACAAGCTTCCCCCAACACTCGCAAGATGCCACATAAACTGGTTT